TGGGGCAGCCCCATTCAGCCAGGGAGGGGAAGCAGGCAGGGCTCTGGGGCACAGCGAGGGTGAGCGGGGCCTCTGGGGGAACGGCTGCCATGCAGGGGGCTCCATCCGCCCCAACCATCAATCTGTGGGAACCTGCAACACTGAGGGGCGGTGGATGCCGGCTCAAACCCCAAAGGTGACTTCCGCTTAATGACGTGCGAGCTGGAGCACTGAGAGGGCGGGACAGATGTCTGCAATTTGCTTCAAAAAATCAAAAAAATAAACAGGACTGGTGGATGGAAGAGGGGTGGGTGGGCACGTCATAAAGCCACCACAGAAAACACGCCTGGCGGGATCCGGGTGGTGGATATGGGTGTTCACTGTAACATCCTGCCAAGGTTGCTGTATGTTGTGGAATGTTCCTAAAACGAGGAACGCCCAGCAGGGCTGGGTCTGCAGGCTGGCCCCCCATCACCACCCAGACTCGGGGTGAGCCAGGGCGGCGGCAACGGAGCGTGAGTGTGCGGCCGGGCCGTGCTCTCCACACGCAAAGCTGCTCCTCTCAGCGGGGTGACTGCGCGGGGATGGCGTCCAGCCTGAGGTGGGGCTCCTGACGGACACGCTGCCTCCGGCCCAAGCTGCCCCGCCGTGGGCTGGCCCCAGACAGCCGGCCTCGGGAGACAGTCCCTGAGCTGGGCCCATCACACAGACGCAGAAGACCCCGTGTGTCAGGGTCAGGGTGGCTGAGGACGGTGGTGTCCACAGTGCTAACAGCAGCAGCAGAGGCGCCTGCCTAGGCACCGGCCTGTCCTCCAAGGACAGCCGCAGGGAATGGTGTCAGCTCTGCAGGCAGGGCCACAGTCGGTGAGGAACAGTGCCACCACCCATGCCCAGGGCCCGCTGCTAAGAGGGGGTCACGGGAGGTCTGTCAGGACAAACGACGCGTGCGCCCCTGCTGCGTTCCTCAGCCACCTTCCTGGTTCTGGGAACCCTAGGCCCGTGGAGAAGTGCGCGGGGCAGGGGTGGGGGCGGGAGGCTGGAAAGGACCCAGGGCAGGAGGGAGGCGGGGCCGCCCAGAGACGCCGGGCGGGGAGAGCCAGGACCGCTGGGAAAGGCGGGGTGGGGACCAGGGCACCTCGGGTGCATTTCCCGCTCTGTCTCCACTCGCTGACCCCCAGAGCCCCGACTCCTGCAGCTACTCGGAGAACCACAGAACTCCCCTGCTTCCGGAGCCAGAGTTTCAGGAGCTTTGCTCAATTTCCGCCTTTATCTGCGCAAACCGTGACACGTTCAACCCGTTGGGCCTCTAAGGTAAGGTGTGTCTGAGCTGGTCATCCAGGTGCTGGCTGACTGTGGGCCTCAGTTTCCCCATCTCTGAATGGGGCCTTGCATGAGCAAGCAGTAGTTGTGGGCCCCCAAGCTACCCGTGTCCCTGGTGGCTGGCGGGAGGTGCCACCTTCTTGAGCTACGTTAGCAACGCACACAGTCACCCCAGGCAAGTGCGGGCAGTGCCAAGGAGCCCAGACAGGCTGAGCGTCCAGGCGGCGCGTGGGCACGGCCCAACAGGCAGGCGCACCCAGCCCCGAGCGGCGACTGCAGCTCTGTCGCCTGGCCAACCAGCTGTGAAGGCATTACGAAAAGTTCTAACTAGTCGCGCGCCCTCTCCGAGCATATGTTCCCAATTAAGCCAAACTGCAGCTGATTTTAATCAATCTTCCTTGAAGCGGCTCGACTTGAAGATGCTCCTCCAGAGAGAGAGGAGAGGCGAGGAGAGGGTATTTGCATAAGGAACACTCGGATCAGCATGCGGCGGGCGGGCGACGGCTCAGCCCTCTTCAGGCTGCCCCCTCCTGCGGCCCGGCCCAGAGCTGCGTGCCGGCCCCGGAGGCGCAGAGAAGCGTGGGGCTCCGGCAGGAAGGAGCAGTGAGCGGCACACTGCAGCCAGGCCTCCTGGAGGGGCGTCGCGCGCTCTCCTTCTGCTTCCAAGACCCAGGGACAGAGGTGCAGGGGTGCGGTCTGCGCCCTCGTGATGGAGAAGGCAGGGAGGGGCCATAGGTGGATGTGAGCATCTCCTGAGCACCTCCTGTGGACCAGGTGTGGCAGTCAGACGTGGCATTTGATCTCCCCGGTAGCGCCCCCTGTGGGCATCATTTCCAGTTTTACAGAGAACACATTGGGGGCTTGGATGGCAAAGCCTAGCATGCCTAAGACCACCCAGCCAAGGGACAGGACAGGATTCCAGCCGAGATCGGCGGGCTTGGAGGCCGGTGCCCCCATGGCACCCTCCAGGGCTCCCCCTGTGTTTCCACGGGTTCAAGTCACCTTCAGACCCATTTTGACGCCACCTGGACCAGCTCCCTGGATCAGACACAAGTAGAACTTGTGACCGTGACCAGAATGACCGGTCATCTCGCTCTGAGTTGTGGCCTTTGCTCCTGTCTGCCCTGCAGGGTCCAGGGCAGAGCCTGCCCCATTTCCTGCATCCTCAGCAGGCCTGTGCAGACAGGTGCTCCTCTCGTGCTGGATGAGTAGACGGTGGCGGGACAAACTCTCTGCCTCCCCGGCGTCTGGGTCAGATAGGAGCTGTCGCTATCACGTGGGAATGACCAACACAGCTGCAGTGATCAGCTCAGCCTCTGGAGCGCAAACCTCTTCTGGCCCCAGAGCATCATACAACAGACCAAGGTCAGGGTAGCCGGCATAGGCAGTGGGGGCGGTGCTGGGGGTGGGGGAGCAGACCAGTGGTCCCTGAGCTGAGGCTGGGGACCTGGGAGGGCAGTCAGGCCATCAGGGACACAGCCCTGAGGCCGTAGGGAAGCGGGCATGGGCAGGGCAGGGCACAGTGGGGTGGGTGGGTGACGAGTACAGAGAGGGAGCCCAGACTCAGGGGGCGACGGGCCCGGGTTCAAAGCCCAGCTCTTCATCTTCTGGCTGGGTGCCCACGACCACATGCGGAAGCTCTCGAGGGGAGGTTCCTCATCAGCGAAACGGGGGTTGCGTGCCCTCTCTCTGAGGACTGCAGACTCAGACACAGGAGGCTTTATGAGAACCTGGGGCCACGGGCCTGGTGACAGCACACAGCGGAGGCTCGAGGCAGCTGTGACTACCGAGACGACGGGTGAGGAAATGGGGATCCAGGCCGCCCCACCATCATGCTGACCCTTCTGAAACGAGCCCATTTGAGGTGCAGGGATGGTCCTCAGTCCCTTCCTGGTCTCAAACTGAAACCCGAAACATGGAGCAAGGGGCTGTAACACGGGATAGAGGTGGGCAGGAACCTCTTTTTGCTGTTGTCTCAGGACCTGGGCAAACTGTAGAGCTGCAAAGGTCAGCAAACAGTCCCAGGCTCGAAGCCGGTGGGAGCGAATGAGTGCAGCCATGGGTGAGAGGCAAGTGTTAGGGCCCCCAAGCACCCACAGGGAGGGACGTGCAGCCTCGCCTCCCAGGCTCAGCTCTGGATATTTATCCACTTCTGGGAGCAGAGGAGAGGTGGTTGCATGGCTATCTAGAAGCCTCCGCCCCATGCTGCCCAAGGGCCATGGCGGAGGCTCAGGGAATGCCTGTGCTCCAGTCATCACATCATCGCAGGAACCTCTACTCCCCAAGGATGACAGCAACCAGGCCCCACATGCCACGCCCTCTAGGCCACACTGTGGGCACTGCTCAGACACGCTCGGCTGCCCGTGAACTGGGCACTCCACGCAGCTGCCGCCAGCCGGTTCCCCTCTCCACACCCACAACCGCAGATGAGAAACCTGGGCACTGAGAGCCAGGTCACACCAACACCAGGGTGCGGACACTCACCTGTGCCCTCCCCATGCCAACACGGACGCCGTCTGCCTCCTCAGCCATGAGTGGCTCCAGGAGGCACAGCAAGGCCCCCACCCGACTCGAGCGCCCATGCGGAGCTCAGGAGGACGTGTACGGTCGACATGGCTAATCCCACTTGTGGAGACAGGACCAGGCCCTGCCCACCCTTGTCTCCAACACAGGAACGCTTGAGATGGGCCAAACGTCCCATCTTCCCAGGATCTGGTGGCAAACGTCCATCGGGCACAGAGCTCACCTGCACCTCTCACCTCATGTGACCCTCAACAACCTCGCCAAGAGCCACTGCAGGCTCCTTGTGAAGGGCCTGGCAGCCCAGAAGCAGGAAGAAAAGGAAATGAACGCTTTTGGCAGGACTCACTGAACCCCAGTCACCAAGGCGGGCTAGAAGCCATCAGCCACGATCTCAGGCTGTGCTCAACTGAACACCCAGAAAGAGATTTACGAAGCCGTCTCTGACACGGCACCGCTGACGGGCGGCCGGGGATTCACCTGCCAACAGCCCAGCTCGCCATCTGAGGACTGCAGCCCAATTAAAACGGTACGAGATGACAGGTCCTAGAGCTGAACACGGTCCAGCCGCGGCTCACGGCGCCTCGCGTTATCAAAGTTGTCACTTCTCCCATCTCCAGGAATTGGTAATAAAAAAGAGACTTGATTTGCCTCTAATAGGTGTCAAGATAAAATCAATGGCCTGTCCAAAATCTGGGTAATCACGAACCTGTGGGTTGCTTGCCATGGAACAGGATAAAAATGAAAAACAAACTGAAATAAAACCCGTGTAAACAGCGTCCAGCTTCACGGCTGCATGTGGAGGGGACAGGCTTGGGTACAAACCCAGACCCAAACACAGGAGGCGCCCCGGGCTCCTCCGCACCTAAGAGCACACCCACCGCACCTGCCCCGGCAACGTGGGCACCACATGCACTGCAGGCTTGAGGCCAGCGGCAGAGAGAAGGGGAAGAAAACAACAGACCGAGGGGACAGGAGGGCTGGGGCTGGGGACAGGCAGCCTGTGGGCAGGACACACTCTGAGCCAGCTAGAGGTGTGTGCATGGGAGGATGTCCCTGGGACGTCTGTGGGTGTGGGAACCATGGACACTCACACCCAGGAAGAAAGGAGGGCGGGGTGCGCCTGAGGGAAAAGGCAGGTTCTAGGACAGGCCTCCCCGGGGCTGCCCGCCAGCACGCACCTGCAGGGTGAGCCGCTCAAGCCGCATTTCCAGCATTTTCTTGTCTTCCTCCAGACGGCTCCGTGCCCCTTCCAGCTCCTCAACCTTCGACCTGCAAGGAGAGGGAGAGCATGACAGGACACTCACCACAGCCCATGCTGGAGAAGGCCTGCCCTCTGGGTGAAGAAAGGGGAAATCTTATGAGAGGAGGTTATGAAGCTTCGTTCCCAAATATACAGATGGGAAATATGACATGAAGTAACAGCATTAAGAAAAAAATGGTAAAAATACCCATGCTTAGGACGGGAGATTGCAACCAACAGCCTCTGTTCAGAGGGGGAGGTTCTGCATGGACCACAGGTGGACAGGAGCACGGAGGAAAACCAGCCAGAGGTGGGGTGGGTGGGGCCTACGTGTGTCCTGGGCCCACTGGTCCACTCCCAGAAGGTGTGACTGCATTTTGGAGAGGACACTGAGAACTGAGAAAACGACCTAAAGAGTCTCCAGAAATGACAGACGGAAGGATCTCCGACATGGGCTGTGGACATAGGTGATGACGGGAGGCTAGGGAGGAAAATCCAGGACGACGAGCAGAAGCAGGTGCAGAATATACAGCTATGCACTGGAGGGCTTTGGGGAGAAGAAGAAGAAGAAGAAGAAAAAAGATTGGCAAGAGATGTTAGCTCAGGTGCCAATCTTTAAAAAAAAACAACAGGGGACTGGCCCCGTGGCTGAGTGGTTGAGTTCGCGTGCTCCACTGCAGGCGGCCCAGTGTTTCGTTGGTTCGAATCCTGGGCGCGGACATGGAGGCACTGCTCATCAAGCCACGCTGAGGCAGCATCCCACATGCCACAACCAGAAGGACCCACAATGAAGAATATACAACTATGTACCGGGGGGCTTTGGGGAGAAAAAGGAAAAAAAATAAAATCTTTAAAAAAAAAAACACAACAAAACAGCTATTTAAAAAAGAAAAAGAAAAAATCTTACAAGCAGCCAGAGAAAGGAAGAGATGTTACATGCAAAGGAATAAAGTAGATTTCTCAGCAGAAATGATGCAAGACAGAGGATAAAAATCTTTAAAATACTGAGAGGAAGAAAGAATACAAACCTAGGATTCTATGCCCAGTGAAAACATCTTTCAAAAGCAAAAGCAAAATAAAGATGTTCTCGCACACAAAAACTGAAGGAATTCATCACCAGCAGATCTGCTCTCAAGAAATGTCAAGAGAAGCCCTTCAAGCAGAAGGAAGATGACACCACATGGAAACAGAGATCCATACAGAGGAGTGAGGAGCAACAGGGATCGCAACTATGTGGGAGAATATATTATTTAAGTCTTTTACAAATATTTAAATTACTACTTTTAAAAGAGATTGCTTAAACAAAACTAACAAAAATATATCGGGTGCTTAAGACCAAAGTACAAATAAAATGTATGACAACAATAGCATGAAGGCTCCAGGGGAAAAACAGACATGTGCAGTTGTAAGCTTAGATACCATATGTGAAAAGGTCTAAGATTTCTTGAAGGCAGACTGTGATAAATGGAAAATGCATACTACAAACCCTAAGGCAACCTCTAAAATAACAAAACAAAGAGTTACACCTAATAAGCCAAAAACGGAAATAATATAGAATCATAAAAAACATCCAATTAATTAGAAAGAAGCCAGAAAAAGAGGAAAAGGGGAACGAAGAAGAGATTGGACAAATAGAAAAGAAGATAGTAAGATGACAAGATCAAACCTCATCACACACACAATCACATTAAATGTAAATGGTCTAAATGCCCCAATTAAAAGGTAGAGAAACTATCAAATGGATGAAAAAGCAACACCCAATTATATGCTGCCAACACAAAAGCACTTTCAATATGAAGATGCAAACAGACAAAGCATGCTAACACCAAGAAAAGCTACAGAGAAAGTTGGAGAAGCTGCTGATATCAGAAAAAGGAAATTCCAGAGCCAAGAATAGTACCAAGAAGGTAATTTTGTCACGAGAAACAGGCCAACTGACCAAGAGAACATCATAATCGTAAACATTTCTGCACTAATACAGGAGCTTCAAATGAGATGAGGCAAAAACTGACAGAAATGCAAGAATTATAGACAAGAGCACAAGTATCATCAGAGATTTCAATATCACTCTCTCAATAACAGATAGACTAATTAGCAAAAAATCAGGCAGGATAAAGTAGATCTGAACACTATCAACCAACTTGACCTAACTGACATTTATAACACCCCAGCTACAACATCAGAATACAGAGTCTTTCCAGGTGTACACAGAATATTTACCGGGGCAGACGTAGGCAGGGCCACAGAAGGAGGCTCAGTATATTGAAAAGGATTTTAGTAATTCAAAATGTGTTCTGTGACCATAATGGAATTAAACTAGAAATCAGTAACAGATAGTGAGAAACCTCATTTACAAGGATGTTTAAATAGACGCACCCAAAACATAAACTACGCGGTTCTGGAACCAGCAGAGACAAATCTGGAAGAGTGACGAAAGGCCCCCACGCTGAGAACTACGAGGTTCTCAGTTAGGCGGAGAGAAATTAAGGACGAGCTGAACACATGGAGAGAGACGCTGTCCATGTTCATGGGTGGGAGACTCAATCTTGTGAGGATTCCACTGCCCCCCAAATTGTTACAGATCAGAGCGTCTCAATCAAAACGCCCAGTCTCTGTAGAAACTGACAAGCTGATTCTAAAGTTCACGTGGAAACGCGACAGACCCAGAATAGCCAAACAACACTGAACAAGAAGGAGCTGGAGGGGAGACAGCACCCAACTTCAAGAATCACTACAAAGCTGGAGTTATCAGAACCGCTCTGGCCCCAAGTCAGACGATCAATGAAACCGAACGGAGTACAGAAATGGATACACAGGCACACACGGACAACCGTTTTTGGCAAATATACTAAGGCATTCCAGGGTAGAAAGGATGGTCTTTTCAACAAATGGTACTGGAACAATTGGGGATTCATAGGAAAAAAAAAAACCCTAAAATCTATATTTTGTATAATATAAAAACTAACTCAAAATGAAAATAAACCTATACCTAAAATGAAAAATTATAAAATTGCTAAAAAATATGGCAGAAAATCTTTGTGAATTGGGGATACACAAAGATGTTTTAGCTATGATATCTAAATCATCATATATAAAAGAAAAAAACTGATGAAAACTTCTCCTTCAAGGATTTCATGAAGAGAATGAAAAAGCAAGACGTAGATTCGGAGGCAGCATGTGCAAACAAGCCTCTGACAAAGGACTTGTATCCAGAATATATAAAGAACTCTCTAAACTCAACAATAAGAAAACAAACAGTCAAACGAAAAACGGAAAAAAGATCTGAACAGACACTTTGCCAAAGAAGACTGACAATAAATAACAAAGAAGCACATGAAAAGGGGCTCAAAGCCACTGGTCACTGGGGACATAAAAGCTCAAACCACGAGGAGACCACTACGCACCTCTCAGCAGGATTCAAACGAAAAAGACCGGCCACGCCAAGTGCTGGTGAGGAGAGGCTGGAGCTCGCCCCCGCGGGCAGTGGGGCGTAAAACGGAACAGCCACTTGGCAGTTTCTTGGAAAGTTTTAACATACAACTACCAGCCATTCCACAGGAGAAAGCATAGTTCTACACAAGGACTTTACTCGTAATATAGAGCCACAAACTGGGGAAAACCAAGTGTCCACCAACAAGGGTGTGCGTAAACAAATTGTGGGACATCCACACACGGGACGCCCTCGGCAGTGACAAAGAACAGAGCGCTGACGTGCGCACACAGCGACGCCGCACAGACGAGCCCCGAGCCGCCAGGTGGGGGAGGTCTGCTGAAGAAGCTCTGGCCCCCGGCGACGGCGGGGAGCCGAGCGGACAGCGCACACCCAGTCCAGCAGGTAAGTCCTACCGCCCCTGGTTTTTAAAGGGGAAACCAAGGCTCATGGAGGTTAAGTGACAGCTGGGAGGTGGCCCATCTGGGACAGGGACCCTGGCAGTCAGACTCCAGTGTTGATGGCCGTACTCACCAGGTGAGTGCTTCTCGGAGGTGCGCACTGACCCACTGAGTGAGGCGCCCTGGAGAGTGTGAGCTGGGGTCAATGTCCGAGGCCACCTCCAGGAAGCCACCTTCTGTGGGAAGAACCTCTGCACCTTAGGAACAGGCTGGATGAGAAGCCCTGCAAGGCCCCTTTCAAAGCAGGGTATGACGGATTCTGAAGGCTCGTGAGCAACCGTTCTCGAGGGCTAAATTCAAATAAGCATATGTGTGTAGCTGCAGACATAATCAGAAGGCTTGCTATAATCCATCCTAGCTGTCAGCGAACAACTCCCATAAATAACACTTGTTTATGCATTTTTAAATGGGGTACTTTCTTTCCTTTGTCCTCCTTTTCAAGCAAACTGTAACCTCGCTGGGAGAGAGGGAGAGAGAGAATGAAGGAATAAGTGAGTGTGTGTGTGTGTGTGTGTGTGTCTAGAAATCAGCTAGAAGAGGGGAGTTGTTATCTTGCCTAAAACATCTATAATGAAGATACCACATACCCTGGACAACTTTTGACAGAAGAATGATTGGTTTTGCTGAACTGAAAGACAGGGAAATGGGCAGGGGGACACCGGAAAGGCTAGAAGGAGAAACAGACAAAGCCACAAGTACAGTTGGAGACTTTAAAACTCCTTTCTAAGTAGCAAATAGAAATTGTAGACAGAAGATTAGGAAGGACTGAACAATACCATCAACCAAATAGCTCTAATTGAAATTTATAGAACACACCACCCAATTATAACAGAATTCTTCTCAAGCACAGATAAAACATTCCCCAAGATAGAGCATATTCCTGGGGCATTGAACAAACCTTAACAAATTTTTAAAAATTGAAATTATACAAACTATGTTCACAGACCATAATGGAACTAAACCAGATAGCAATAACAGACGATAACAGGAAAATCTCCAAATACTTGAAAATGTAACAACACCCATCAAAATAACACACTGTTTAAAGAAAATGACTAATGAAATTAGAAGTATTTTTAACTGAACGAAAATGAGAATACTCTATAGCAAAATTCGTGGGATGCAGTTGAAGCAGTGC